AACCACATGCAAAGAAACAATATATGATCAATTCAACAAACCAAAAGAAGTTAACAGATACCATCTTAAATACAGTAATTAAAAAAAACATAAAAGATGCCTGAACAAGAGAATGATACTTCAAAAAATTTGAGTATTATCAATTAAAGAAATAAAATTATAAAAATAACCCAAACAGAAATTCTGGAGTTTAAAAGTGTAAGAACTGAAAAAGAGAGAACTGGAGAGAATCAACAGCAAATCTGAGTAGAGCAAAGAAAGAATTAAGAAACCTATAAAGAGCAATGGTAATTTAATGGCACAATTCTTGTCTTTCAGGCAGAAGACTCAGGTTCAGCTGCTTGCCAATACATCTCAAGCACAGTCTTTCAGGAGAGCCTTGTGTGTTGTACGGATAGAAAACAGTTTTTAAGTAGGGCTTCTAGACTAAGACAGACTAGGAAAAAAAAATATCTGGCAATCTACTTCCAAGTATCAGCCAAGGAAAATCAGATGTATCACTCACAATGGTTCATCCCATTGTTCATGGGCCCTCTCAACTCAACAGCAGCTAACAAGAGCAAAAACAAGAAACATCCAGGACAACACCGTAAATATCAGTATATGTACAATAATAAAAGAGAAAATAAGAAAATAAAAAGAGGCAGAATATTCAAGAAATAATGGCACAAATTGCTTGAATTTGATGAGGCATGAATTTACACATTCAAATGCTGCACAAACTCCAACGAGGGTGTCTCAAAGAATGAGAAGACAAAATACAATAAAGTTGCCAAACTACAATGACAAAGAATCTTGAAAGCAGCAAGAAACTCATCATATACAAGACAGGCAACAGTAAGATTAAAAACAGATTTCTCATTACAACCGTAAGGCTAAAAGAAAGTGGGGTCACATATTTGAAGTGCTTACTAAAAGAAAAAAGTAACAACAAGGACTTCTATAGCAAGCAAAACAGTTCTTCATACAAGGAGAAATTACCACATTCCTTTATAAACAAAAGTGTGTTAACTACTAATAGATCTGCCTTCCAAGAAATGCTAAAGGTAGAACATTGGGCTGAAATGAAAATACACCAGAGAGTTACTTAAAAGGCATACAAAGGAAAAATGAATAATGCAAAAGCTACAGAGACAAACCCCAAAAAATAAATAAAGGGAATATAATTGAATATAATTCATCTTTATTTTTCTCTGACTTTTCACAGCCAAACAATTCCATCTATATGGTAAGGTACACAAAATTTATAAAGGTGTAATTATAACAAGAGATATAAAGAAAAGGGGAAAATAATTACAAAGAGCCAGAGCTTTTGCTTATTACTGAAACTACTATTAATTGAAACTTGACTGATAAAAAGTAAAATTCATTAGCTATAATCCAGGGGAACTAGTAAAGAAGAAACTAAAAATTATGCAGAAAAAAAAAAAATCAAGTAATCTGTTATGTGTATGTACCACAGTTTATTGATCCAATCCTCTGCTGACAGTAAACAGGTTGAAACAACCTAAATGTCTATCTTAAATAACACTGCTATGAACACAGGTTTGCATATGTCTATTCCAGTCAAAGTATTTCTTTAGGATATACCTAACAGTGGGGATTGTTGAATCACACAGTTTTTCTATTTTCAGCTTTTTAAGTTAACACCATACTGTTTTCCACAGTGGTTATACCATTTTACAGTCCCATAAGCAGTGTATAATAAGGTTTCCAGTCTATCCAAACCCTGATCAGCATTTGCTCTTTTCTGTGTTTTAGAACTCTGTTACTAGTGCTAGGGTGAATGATTATGTCATTTTAATTTGCATCACTCTAATGGTTAATGCATATTAACTATCCAAAGATGATAACAACTTATGGATAACACTACAAAGAACAGGAATCCTAGAATACTTAATTGTACTCATGCAGAACCTGTACATAGACCAGGAGGCTGTCATTTGAACAGAACAAGGGGATACTGTATGGTTTGAAATCAGGAAGGGTGTGTGTCAGGATTGTGTCTTTTCACCATACTTATTTAACCTCTATGCAAAACACATAATCCAAAAAGCTGGAATAAATGAAGAAGAATGCTGCATCAGGAAAGGAGGAAACCTCAATAATAACATGCAACATGCATGAGACACAACTTGTATGCTGAAAGTGAAGATTAAAGACTATAGTCTGCAATAAGGATCACACCTCAAGATAAACAAAATGCTCACAACTGGAGCAATAAGCAGCATCAGGATAAATGGATTAAGAGACTGAAGTCGTCAAATATTTCATTTTACTTGGGTCCTCAAATAACATCGATGGATACAACATCAAGAAATCAGATTAGGAGTTTGAAATGGAGTTGAACCAGTGAGCAGCACACTTTATCCCGCTGGCATCTAAGGTCTTGGAAAACTAGCCAGAACAGCTTAAATTAGGAATTTCAATGCTCTGAACAGCTCACAGATTCAGACTACATTAAACACAGAAGAACAGAATTCGAGGAAAGGCACAGGGAGAGTATTTAGGAAAGAGTTACTGGAGGAGGACTGACAGGCACCCAAGAGAGGCACTGGAAACTCTTCTGGAGCAGTCGCTGTGTGCTGGGCTAGGTTGCCCGCCTGAGATCCCCGAGCCAAACGGTAGACGCCTTATAATAGCTTACCAGCGACTGCTAATATTCCGGTGGGCAATGGCAGGGACCTGCCTCCAGCAGCTCATCCTGATTTTTTGTAGGTAATTTGGGTCTCCTGGGGCTGGCTGCAGGCACAGACACCTCCGCTGAGATTTGGAGGAAAACTTACTGTTGCGAAAGGGAGGGTAGCTCCCTCCCCTCACAGCAGGTCACAGAGTAGACTGCAGTCAGACTGGGAGACATCATGTTTTTCTTTGTAACAGAGATCAGGACTGCAGGTCACTAGCAGGTACTCCCCTGACCAACAGCTCAAACTGTGTGCATCTTTGGCACCGCAGCTGGGCAGTATCACAGACATACTCCAGAGCTCGCCATTAGCGGTCTGGCAGGATTACATTAGCACAGCAGACAGAGAGAACAGGGAGAGGGAAGAAACCTGGATTTTTGCCTTGGCGCCATTCTTTAGTGCTGTGGGGCCACGGAGGTGGGATCTTTGAGTGTGCCTGAAATTAGCAGAAATTTGTGATGCTCTAACAATAAGAATCTTTCCTGAAGTTGAGCTGCAGTCTTGCAAATAAATACGTCATCAAAACTAGCCTGTTCAAAGCCCTAGAAACCAACCCTAGAAACCCCAAGATTTCCTTCTTCCACTCCCACCTTCTTGTCCAATATCTTCTCTCACTCAATAGAAGAAAACATAATCAGCCAAAAATAGACTAAAAACCAAACGATAGAAAAAGATATATCAAGCAAATGCCAACTATAAAAGAGAAGCAGTGGCAATATTAATTTCTGATCAAAATGACTTTTAAGACAAAAACTACCATACGAGACAAGGAAGGTCATTATATAATGATTAAAGGATCAATTGATCATGAAGATATAACCATAATAAATATCTACGGACCCAATGAAAGTGCCCTAAAATACATCATTCAGACATTAAAGGGCTGAAAAGCCAAATAGATGTCTCCACTCTCAGACTGGAAGACTGGAATACACCACTTTCTTTGAAAGACAGAACA